CGAGCTCATGATTTTCTGCCAGGGTCAAGTACTTGGTTTTGATGTTGTGTAGACATGTGAGGAACCTTGAAGCTTCTCTGGCTGAGTAACCTAAGCATTGCCGCTGCAAGTGCCAGTTGCTCTGTCGGGTTAATCGTATTGCCATCATCTTCTGATTGTTGACGTGTAACTTCCTTCATGTCCAAGCTCTCAGATCTGCAGTATGCATCTCATATCTCTACTGTTGCGCGCTTAGAAGGCTACAGAAGGCATGCTCATGAGTCTCCGTTTTGTGGCTTCTGTCTTTCGGGGGGGAGAGGGTGGCACGAAGCGATTCTGCTGCACAGCAGAAATCCAGGCCCCCTGTTGCTCGGAATGAGTAGAAGTCGGAAGCGTGCAGCTGCTTAAAACAAGTAGCACCCCCTTCTATAACCCAGCCCCCTGGCAAAAACGCCAACTTAAGATACTCTCAGGACATGGCCCAGGATGAACTTTACATGGCTTATGCCATCTCCTTGGACTCGTTTACGACAAAGAACCAGCTTTGGGAAAGAGGCTACGCCTTTTCAGGCTTCTTTGTCAAATTAGTGGCGTCTGGCATGCTGCGAAGAAAGCTCCCCAAAAGCAAGGACAAATCAGTCAGGGCTCCATAATGTCAGATGGGGGGAAGCATGGAAGGAATCTAGTTTAGTTCATGGGTTCCACTACCATCCCGGGCATGCTACCCCCCATAATGAGGGCTAGTTAAATGCTCGTTAAGGGGGGGAATTTTAGGCAGGCAACATCGGCGGTAGTCGGGGAACCCTGCGTATGTAAACCCCCGAAACTTCTACCTACCACCCTAAACTGTAGACCCTCAAACCTTAAGCTTTAACCGTTAAATCCTAGACTCCCAACCCCAAACCTCAACCCCCCAAAAACTGCATGGGGCCTGCTGCTGCTTTCGGCTTGCTCCTCCGTTAGGGCACTTTGGGCCTTGCACCAGCAGCAGGATAGGGCACCTACCTAGCTGATGGATTGTCCGGTATAGGATACGGGAGTTCTGGTTTTAATGTTTCAATCTGTGTTATACAACCAAAACCCAACAGCTAAGGAATACTAGCAAGAAACTATGTGGTTAATCCCATCCCTCAAAGATTTAACCCCCCCCAATATTAACTATGCCCAATGTATTATCATATTCCGCAATGGGAATATCTCATATACGGGGGTTAAAGATTATAGGGGAAGGGCCTACTAAAGAATCAACATACAGCTGAATCTGGTTGTACTGTAACGCAGTATGTGAAGAATATTCATATGAAACTGGGTGTTTAATAGTAATCCAATATTTTTCCCTAGTAATCCAATGTGAAACCAGTTGAGCCATAATCTAAACTCCTAATATCCCCCTTAATAACCCCTATAGTCGTCCCCTATATTATCCCCTATATAACCCCCTTAAAGGAGTTTAGACTAGGGCTCAGTTGAAGCTTCGGCGCCCCGCCTCGGCCTCGGCACGGACCTGCCGAGCGGCCGCAGCGCCAGAGCCAGCTGCGGGGGAGCTGCCCGCGGCCTGGCTTTTGGGTTGGAACAATGCTTACATGGGGGTTAGCAGGGAATATGGGAATATACTTTAAGCTCTATATGGGAATATGGGAATGTACTACAGGGATTGTATTCCCTTGTTTCCTACTAAGAACCAGGAAGTTTTTATACTATGCCAGCAAGGTCCCTCCTTAATTAACCCTAATTACCCCCAAATTACCCTACTTAAGGGGCACCCTGGGAAAAGCAGTGTAATGGCGCATCCATAACACTGGTCCAGCCAGAAACTAGCAGCTTCGAAGCCCTGCGAGGGTTGACTAAGGTTGATGACTCCCTCGCCAGGTACACTGCTTAACAAGAAAACAATCCTGCATCTTTCCTCACTGTTGGAAAGCCTTTTTGACCACTGGAAACAAGATGTAGCTCTTAGGACGCCTGCAGATTAAATGAAAGACAATCTACGCTGCAAGATTCTGGAGCGTAGCAGTTACGCTTATGCATCGATGCCCTATTTTTCAAAATGCCTGAAAAATCGCCACACCTTACGTAACCCACATCCATTTAGAGACGAAGGCTCATAGCTTATGTCTCCCCGTACATGGAAGGGCGCATCTATAAATTCATTTTTGCCTGGAAGGAATTTGGGTTGCTGGCAGCAGGTAATTACAAATGCTTGTCCATGTTACTTTAACCCCGGAGAGAAGCCTCTTTCACCGCCGGTGGCTCCTCTTTAGCTTCGAGTGGTGCAGCCTCACATAAGGCAGCATTAGCACTGCTTATACTTGTGTTGGGCTTGGTCACAGGTTGTCACAAGAAGATTCTGCATTGCTTTAGACTCCCTACAGTAACTAGTGAAAGCAAACGGCCGGCCGATCTTTCAAGTACCAGGTGGTAGCCCCCGCAATAGGCTTCTGCAACTCATCAGGGCAACTGCTTTGGCTCCTAGTCCTAGCAAGCCTTCTAGATTCTCTTTGTTGGAGTCAAAGCAGGCTGAGATTTCTTAGGTGGTAATAGATCCCATTTGAGGGGTGTGGTTGAGAGCGTGCCCTCAGATCGATCTATCCCCCTCAAGGTGTTCTATTGTCCGGGTATTACTGCTTGAAAGGCGCAAGAGAAAGTAGGATTAATCTTTACGCCCCTTGCAACAGACGTGCCACGCGTACATGTACACGTGTATATACATGATAAATCCCCGCCAACTTTATGAGGCTACAGTAACAAGCACATATCAACACCGAATTAGCAACCTACATGATGTGAAGGGTCATGACATCCCTTCACAGCTCTTTATACGTGCATTTCTCGTAGTTGGCTGCCCATTGGTATTCTATCCTTTCTTTCTGGGTTCTGTGAAGTAGCGAGCCCTAAGAGAAACCCCATCCCATCGATCCAAGAAGTATTGGGCCTCCTAATGGGGTTTAGGGTTTAGGGTTTATGTTACTCATGGCCCTGATTTTGGGGAAATGCCCCAGCCTAAACTCTGTCCAAACCCAAATTCAACCTTTACCACGCCCAGGTCCCACAACCACAATCCCCCGCTCCAAAAGGGCCTTATCTTTGGGCTTGGCATCTTTCTTGGCATCTTCTTTCTTCTTGGCTTTTGGCTTTGGCTTCGCCTGCGCCCCCAGACTTACTGGCTTCGGATAAGGAATGACTGGGTTGCTGTTAAGGAACTTAAATTAAGTTACCACAAAAGGTATATATATATATATAGTAAATNNCCTTAACAGCAACCCAGATGATGGAATGAACTCCTGAAGTGGTTCTTGAATAATCATCCCCAGCCAGAATTCAGGTGGCTGGAGTTGCCACAGAGAATTTTGTTGACCACCTCTGGTGTTCCAGGCCTTCATCGCCCACCAGAATAGCCACTGATGAAATTATGGAGAGTGGGGTCGTTTTGGGTCAGGGCTTTTTGGGATGTTTTGGGTTGTAAGACCTACGGGCTTAGCAATTTTGCGACTTGCATGGCCAACACAGCAGAGCAGGGTTTAAGGTTTTAGGATTTGGGGACAACTTTTTTTGAAGAATGGGAAGACATGCTTGGGGGCTTTGTGCTAGCAGTAGAGTCAGCTTTTCAACTTGCTGTGGCTTCCAGGTCGTGCTGGGTGCTGTCGATGTTTGCGGGCATCATTGGGGAACTTTCTGATTCAGCAAGCCCTGAAACTGAAATTGAAGCCATGTGTGCTTTCTGCGCGGTCCTTCTGGTTACTGACGCTGTCACATTGTGCTACATAAGACAGGCCTTTCAAAAGCCTTTCTACGGAGCTTGAAGGGAAAACAAGATCCCGGACTAAAACTTCGTTCAGTTGCGGCTGAAAAGTGGGCAGGACTGGCTTCAGAAGGCAATCGAAAATTGCACAAAACCATCCAGCACGGTGTATACACCTATAGATGCTGAGCGCAACTTATGCTGCAAAGGCGGAAATGTGCAGAAGATGAGGGAGATACTATTCCCAATCAGGCCCCCACATTTCACAGTCTAGGACATCGCGCCGCGCCTTCATTCTTGGCAAAGCCCGGTGACAAAGGGGTCTGAGCCAAATTGCCGCAAAACAAGCCCTGGCGCCTAGACGGCCTTGTGGGGATACAGAAGTTATCACGAGCGCTGAATATCCTGGATAATATTATTGTAATCATCTGCGGAGAGGTTGCCTCAGATAACCAGGAGGTTGTTGCAAAATTTCAAATGCAGCCTATCGCCTGCCACAAGCATTTTGGAACTCGGATGATGGGATGCTGCTCGGATATCCAAAAAAACATTCCACTTTGAGTGCTTACTTACTCAGCTGTGGCCAAAAGGCATGATGATGACGACATGAGGTTGTCTCAGAACTTGGGGTCATTTCAACCTTGGTAGTATGGCACCGTGGACGGAAAGTGAGCGAGTGGAAGCACCAGCCCTGTCATTCGCTGGATCAAAGGTGGGGGCCTGATACGACATCTCACGTCTCTCCTAAACCTTCCTGCAAGGACTCGCCGGGGGAGCACTGAGCCACAACTTAATGATTCTGGCTTCCATCCAAAGAGTGGGTCAATGATGGCTTTGAGATTTAAGGCTCCTACCCTGTCAGCGACCAAAGCATGCTTTCATTTGGGAAAGCTAACTACCCAACAGGACAACATGAAGTATTTCTTGCCGGGAAAGTCAGAATGTGAGAGATGTTACTGGCTTCGATTGGCCAAGGCCAAAACCATCCACCAGAATAGCACTTCAGAATAAAGGAGTTATATTAGGGTTATCTAGGGATAGTGGAAAATGAAATGGAAACTACTATAATGGGGTTATATAGGGTTAAGGGAATAGGGTTTAGGGGTCATATTTAAGCCTCACCATGAACCCATCAAATTCAAAACCTTCAGGGTAACGCAGGGACTTGAGCCTCAACCAGACTCCAAAATAGTATTAGTACTTCTGCAGGCCCCTACAGTACATTCCCATGTAAGACAACTACCTGAATCCTGAAATCCAAAAGTTGTCTTTGGGTCGTGACCAATAGGCCGGCCGGATCTGAGCCTTGGTTGCAACAAGGTTCACTGCTGCTGCTGCTGCTGCAGGTGCCAAGAATTAGGGGTGCATTGCTGGGACATGTTTGATTGCAGCCTTGGTAGGTCTTCAGGGGTTCAAGCAAGTAAGGTTGTATTCTTCATAAACTACTACAATTTGACAGAAAATACATACTCTTCCTCTGTATCAGAGACGGTACTATCTTTCATGGACATTGCTCGGCCATGCTGGCAAAACAAAGCTACTCATGTGGTAGATTTTCTGTACTGTCCTCATTGAAAATATTTAGCATTTGCGGGGGCTCTAGAATCGAGAGGTCATCCCAATAAGAAGTATAGGATTTGGAGTTATCGAAGGCATTTTTTGGAAAATGTCCATAGGACATTGCTGCAAGTACCATCTTCAAGTGACACCTTATCCTTTACAATATCACGAACTTCCTTTCATCCATCTTGGATGTCGCCAGTGTCCTGCTTTGGTCCCGTGCAGTGCCCGTAGTTCCGTGCATTGCCCCAACGCGCCAAGCGGACGCCGATCGAGTTGAGCACGGCCGTGAGGGGTATGGCTGAGATGTGCCGTTGATGGAGGAGGGTCCCCTCGTTTGCCGCCACTGCGTGTGTGCTTTTGGACCGGCTAGGCAAACTGTCCTTTCCTTTCTCTGAGCTTGCGCTCCCAACTTAGTACCGAGGTCAAGGATGACAAGGGGGCGAGCTTGCCAAGCGACCAATTTCGACACCCCAAGTTGGCCTCTGAATACGCATCACGCCAGGGTGGGGGGCGGGCTCCTGCAGCGCTTTGAACTGTTGCCGGAGCCTTGATGACTCTTGTGGGGCAGCAGGGACCACGTTGATAGGCTGAGCGCACCCGAGCCGACCCAGTCACTCTCTCACTCACTCTCCAGCCTGGGGGTTCGGGTTCAGCAAATCGGCCGTGCGGGTGTATGCAGGAAGCTTCTTCAACCACGTCAAAGCAATGATCAACCCTTTGTTCGTATGTTATGAAGGAGGCTGAGGGATCTGGTCTTAGAGACCTCGCAGCAAATGGAAACTCCGTGAGCCCTCCCTTACATGATGTGAAGTAGCTATCAACAAAGGCAAAGTTCCTACTCTGAACATCTCAGTATCGGGTTGAGTTTCCGGACTCTTGAAACCCTACCCTTGCAGCTCAACCCTGTATGTAGCACCTACTGGACCTACTGTACTTCCCAAACTTTTTCCGCCAATCCCCCACGACCCCGAACTGGCAGCCCCTAGTTTAGCGAGGTACTCCGAGAGCTTCATGCTCACAAGCGCCGAGGGCTTGTTGGAGGCTGAGAGGTGCTCATCGAGGTCCTGACAGACTTGAGCATCATTTGAGTTGTGGATTTCTGGCATTGAGAGTTGCCAATCTAGTTTGTAATATTGACAGACTAGGATTACAGCTGTTAGTGCTACACTTACTTACTACAACTTCTATCAAACAATTACTTTGCAGATGTCTCATGGATGGCTTAGATCATTCAGGCTGCAGGGTGGGGGGTCCATTTTGATCTCTCAGCAACTAATGATGTTGACCTGCCTATGATCGCCCTCGTATATCGCCTGTGTTTTCTACGGGTGAAGGACAATCGCTTTTTACAGAGCAGGGTGGCACGGGTAGGGGAGTGAAAGGCAAAAGCCCCATTAAAAAAAAAACATCGAAGCATAGTTGGATCAGATTTTCACTCCTGCAGTGTCCAGAGACTCGAAGTCACGAAGCAGAGGGGTACTCAGCTTATTGTATTATGCAAGTGCAGGGGATGCATGGCTGGTAATCCACCTTGGTGGGAATCCTTTTCTCAGCTGTTATCGAGCTGCTTCTCAAATTGAGGAAAACTTCCCTAAAGGCTGCACCCGAAGCCCAAGGTCCTGAAAGTCCCGCACCAGATCGCACCCGAGGCGGGAGCGATCCTGGAACACCTGGGCACAAAGCTCTGAAGAGGAGGAGCCTGGTCTGTTGAATCTATTGTTGTCATGAGCAGTTTTGGATCATTCCGTGGGATTTTACTACTGGCTGTATCAGGAAGAGGGTAGACAATCATTCAGCACCCCTTCAACAGTTTAAACATTTCCATGCACTGCTTCCTTTCATACACATTATGGCAGGTGCCAAAGTGGACAGTAAGATGGAGGCAACCTGATGTTGGGGCAGGGAGACATGCCCCTGACCTGAGAGCCACACACTTGCCAGACGGGCAGCGGCTGCTTCGTCTAGGAAATGCCTCAGATGCAGTTTTTAAGCTTCATTTGCGCCAGTAGCCTCTTTCTTTCCGTGAACGTGCTACAAGCGCCTCATCCTGTTGCCAATGCTGCTGTCAGAATCGTGCCTGCGCCTCCGTTCCCCATAGCGTTTCCAGGACTAGGGCATCTTCTTTTTTGCCAGGGTTGCAGTGAGCAACATAGGCGTCCTTTCAAATACTCGATATCTCGGACAGGCTGAACATTCACATCCGCTGTCAGACCCTCCAATTAAACTCATACTCACACGCCAAACACCCAAAACTGAGGCCCGCCAGAAGGCAAAGCAATGTTGAAGTCACTGCAGGGGGATGATTTCTGTTGGTGAGGCAGACCGAGGTATGAGCAGGATCGCGGGTCCCCGCACATCCTTTAAGTACTTATGTCAACCAGTGGGGTTCAAAAGATCCTCGACCCAAAAAAACCTGTGTCCGATGAGATGCTTCATTGCCATCTCTGCCACTCTTTGCTCGATATCCACGGCCCGCCCGGGCGGCCCGACCTCCGATGTGGAAATCAACGAGATGAGGATAAGTGCTGGGTAAGCTTCTTGGCCGAATCCTACTGCTGATGCGAAAAACTGCATGACCCTGAAAACCCATCTTGTTGCATCTGAACCTGTTGAATTGCCAGATTGCTGGCACAAGCATGGATCCGTACCTAGTCACTTAAGCATCTGGCTGATGATTTGAGGGCGTTCCTGAAGAACTCGAGAGGGCATACCGTACCAGCTCGGAAAAAATATCCTAAGCATAATGTCACACCTGCCCAAAGCCGGACGATGCAAAACAACGTTCATAAACCAGCCAAGGCAAGTGCTTGCAGCCCGAGTGGGAAACCCCGCGCTACAAGTTCCATAACTCATTCGAATGAACATTCCCAATCCAGACTGGCTTTGGATTCACGGAGCAAAGGATCTCTTCACTCACGTCCAGATTCAAAGGGTTCGGTTTTTGTGTTAAGATTTTGGCTACCCAAACCCCCCAAATTAGGACCCTAGCCCATAACTATCACATGACTGTTGGAGGCCTCATTCTGGGGATTGGCATTACCAAAATCATCCAAAATCCAATGATTCCATGTCTGGAAGATTGTGCCCGTCCGAGTGCCAGGCAGGTACCTGACTGCTGCCAGGTCTTCGGTTCGGAGTCTGGCCCGCCAAGAGCACGGAGACCTCTTCACCACTAGAAACTTCTAGCAGTTGGTTGGGTCTCCGGGCAGGTCTAATCAAATTTAGAGACGCGCTCAACCCTTGTTTATCCTCTCCCTTACAAAGAGCGAGGGCTCAACTTGTGGTAAGTTCGGTGAAAATGATATCTTCAAAGGCTGGGTTCTAAAGAATTATAATCTGAAGTGTCGGCTTCCCAACATCCAGGAGTCCAAAACAAAAATCGACCAGGCCACTTCTCTGTTTCAGCCCTACAAATTTCAAGGGTCCTGGAGATACCTGCTGTAGGTATCTCCAGGAAAGAAAGGCCACGTGAGTTCTGCTCACATCTACGGTAAGGGCCTATAGCTCTCCCAAGTTTAACAGATTCTGCGCGCATACCGCAATGTTCCAGTCTGTTGGATGAGATCCATGCAGGGACAATGAAATGCAGGTCAGGAGTGCCTAAGTTGAGACCTTTGTCTTCCTCAAAAGAGCAGCTGGAACCTTGAAAACCTTTTAGCCTACCCCATGCCAATGCCAGAAAAGAAGCATGCTTCTTTTAAGACACCATTCACGTCCTTTACACCCCTATTGCCACACCCAGGAAATGCCTCTGTAAAGCCTACGTAATCCCATGTTGAGACGCCTTCAAATCAAAATCATAGTGTTACGTCATGGGCCTCCTTGCCCGCAATCCGCTTACCGTCGAGGTCCTCAACTGTGGGGCAAGACCATAAGCACAGTGAGCACAAACGGGATATGCTGGAAGGATCTCATTGGAGGAGAGTAAAAAGACAGCAGGGCTGCTGGGAATCGAGAATCAAAATAGAAACCCTCGTAACAAGGCAGCAGTTGGGGTACTGACGGATTGGGAATGTGCCACAAGCTGTGAAGCTTACCTTTCCAAAGTCTTAGCCGAGCCATGAAACCGTTCCAGCCTGCTCCAGACCTCAAGACTGACGCTCCCTTTTCTGCTCAATCGTGTAAGTGGCGAAGCCCCAAAATATTGCTTTAAGAACCCCCAAAAAGGCTGCTTAGACGGGTTATCATCTCGTTGCTGCATTGGCGTCCTTCTGGGCGTCCTGTGCGTCCCTGGGATCCTGGCACGGCTTTGGCTTTTCATGGCTGTGAACGCAGAAAACCTTAACCTGCCAGTATGAAAGAGACCAGTCACACCCCAGTAAGGTCGGGCAGGGACGTTTTGCGGAGGGCTTCCCACGGCAGGCAAGTGATTTATTGAGCAGTGTAGCACATGCAAGAACATCGCTTCGGACAACCCGGGCTCAAATCCTATACCGTCTACCTCCTCCCTTCCGAAACATGAAGATGTCTGTAATGACATGCCCACGGAAGAACACCCTAGACAGCGGAGCTGTCGCTGGATAATCTATCGGTCTTTGCGCGCGTTATAGCCTTGATAATTCCGAACCCAGACAGTAACCATATCAAGACATGTGAGGGCTCCTTATACAAGGAACAACAAACAGAGATCTCTCTGTGTTTCCTCTCTAGACCTGAAACCGCGACCGCTTACTTATTTCTAGGATGGTTGTTCCCGTAGCAGAACCTTTCCAGATTAGGGCTCCGATCTTGGTATCCCTGGCACGAGGAGCCCAAATAGCCTTTGTACTCTGGAGTCTCACACACGAAGAGCCCTTCCCACTGCTAGATTAGAGCGCGCAGCTGCCTCATACTCCACATAGGCACACCGCTGCGTCCTTGGTTGACGTATGGCTTCAAAAACAACCAATGTGCATGAGGGCCAGATAAGATCTATATACATCCGGTAATACATCCTCCGAGTCCGTTGCCCGTATTCTGAAACTGTCTTCTTGGAAAAATACTGCGCTCGGTCAGCAGGACGCGTATCTCTGTCGAGAATCCACTGTTGGAGTTCCGCATGCTTTTTCTGGAATCCCACTTTAGCCGGTAGGAGGCCCTATCAGAAGGGGCGACAAATGAAATCGAAGGATTTCCATGTTGCGCTTGACTTGGATTTAGATGCCCTGATCCGATCAGTACTC